ATAATAATTTGATATTTTTTTAGGTATGAAGCAATGTCAGATTTACTATATATTCTTAATCAATTGGTTGATGTTAAAGGTAATATTTTAATACCAGGGATTGATGAAGGAGTAGAACCATTATCTGAAAAAGAAAAAGCATTATATGAAAAAATAGATTTTGATGTAGATGCATATATCAATGAAATTGGTGCATCAAAGTCACTGAAAGAAACTAAAGTTAGTATTTTTATACAATAATATGGTATACTTTTAAGAATATCTTCAATTTTAGGAAGAATTATTAATGAGCAATTGGAGGTATCCAAGTTTATCAGTTCATGGAATTGAAGGAGCATTCTCAGGCCCTGGATTTAAAACTGTGATACCTCGTAAAGTAACAGGAAAATTTTCCATTCGATTAGTGCCAAATCAAATACCATCAAGAATCACAGAAATAGTGATAGACTATGTTCAAAGTGTTTGGAAAAAGCGACAAAGCCCTAATAAATTTAAAGTATTATATTTTTAATATTATCTAATCAATTTTAATAGTGTTAATTTATTTGTACATAACAATTTATCAATATTGAGAAATAAAATATAAGAATTATTTTCATCATGCAATCTATTTAGTAGTTACACTTTAAAAAAAAGTGCATTATTAAACAAAAGAAATATTGATCAGTTAAAAAGTTTGGTTTTATTTTTTACTGTCAGACAAAATGTCCAACTAAATTTTTCAAGTTGAACAAAATCTCTGAAAATACAAATTAGTCAATTAAAAAAATTAATTAATTTTCTTATACAATATAATATTTGGTTATTATTCTTTATACTTATGATTTAAAAATATTATTGTGTCAAATAGAAATTTAAAAATACATTCAGTACAAAGGTATAAGTCATGTTAAAATTTTCTGAAAACATTAACCATTAAAAACAATTTTTTTGTTTTCTCTTATAATAATCATTGCCATAATAACAAAACATCTTGCAATATATTGGCTAAAATTCAATGTAGAATGCATGTCCTTCATTAAATTACATTGATAATATATAAATGTATAAATCAGAACTATATAATAATCATGATAATAATATTGATAGCCTATACTCTTTAGATATAATCTTATGATAGATAAATTAGACATATAGATGTGATAAACATCAGATTATTATAGGTACCTAGTTAATTTTCATTTTATCTTTGTATTCTGATTTATTGTACTTGAAAATTGTAATTGTATAGAGATATGTAGTACATTCAAATTTAAAAATAGTTCAATTAATGATTTAATTTTAATTTTATAGATTTACACTAGAGGGGATGGCGGTAATCCCTGGAAGACAGATCCATTCAATGATCACTTTTTAGCAGCTCATGAAGCTACTAAAACTGTTTATAATGTTGAACCAGAGTATACCAGATGTGGTGGATCTATACCTGTTACATTGACTTTACAAGTATGCATTCAATATTTATTATTTTTTTACGTGAATTTATATATCCTGCTTCTCATGACATCATAATTATACCTACAGCATTTTATAAAATAATTCAAACGGTTATATATTCTTTGTTTTTAGATATAAAGTGATTATTGAAAAAAAAAAAAAAAAAAAAAAAATAAAATAATAAAAATAGTTTTTGAAATTTATTTTATAGTACTCGTGTTTATGTTAATGTTCTATTTACTTTTCTTTGTACAAACAACATTTAATCACTATTCAAATTTATCCCCTATTTTCTCCTGCATATCAATAATAATTGACTCAATCGATTATTTAATTCCTTTGGGGATAGTAATAGTATATACTTAGTATCTTTAATGTAGCTTTAAAAAATTAATCATATGGTGATGGCATAAGATTAGATGACCTAAAAGTCAGTTACCAAGCAATAGATCAATCATTGTCTATAATTCTATAGTTTAATTATAGTATTTATTTTTAAGATAATTCTCTTATAATATAGTCTATAAAAATTATAATTAACAAATGATATAAATTTTACATAAAGTTAACTTTTACTCTTTAATTATTTAACTAAAACTCTGAGATAATATGATAATATACTTATATATTTAGTAAGAAAATACATTTTTAAATATGATAATGTTTTAAATAAACGAAATCTTTATATTTTATTTTATTTGTTGTATTTTTAATGTAAATTAGATTACACAATTTAATATACATAAAATATAATTTAGGATGTACCTATTCCTGTTTAGTAACAGCTCAACAGCTAGTCTTGTGAGCCCCATCTAAAATATTTTGAAAAATTTGTATATTAAGTTATTAAACAAACAAAATAATTTCTGTACTCAAGTAATATTTATTTTTAATCACTTGAATTTAGAGTTAAAATTGTCTTAAAAATTAATTATTAACTATGAGTATAAAAAATAATTTATTGATTACTCAAATGTGCAGTTGTTAATAAAAGTATTGACCAAAAATTGGTTATTCTAGGAAGTTACTGGTAAGAGTGTAATGTTGTTACCAATGGGTGCTGGTGACGATAGTGCTCATTCACAGAATGAAAAGATTGATGTACGCAATTATATTAAAGGAGTAAGTATTAAATGTGGTTTTAAAATTCCTACAACTATAATCATCTATTTGGTACTTATTCATATTTTTATTATGTATAATAGTTGGATAAAAAAAAAATAATAATAACAACACATTATTTTTTTATATTATTATAAAATATTAAATAATAAAAAATTTTTTTTTTTCATTTCAGACCAAATTGATGGCAGCTTATCTCTATGAAGTATCTAAAATACAGCATTAAATTTAATACAAGTGTTGTATTTTTAACATTTATTCAAAAATATTTATAATAATATTCTATTTTATAATTGATAATAAAAAAATATTTAATTAATCATAATACATAGAATTTTATTGTAAGATACAAAATAAGGTACACGAGAATGGACACTGATTGGAGGGTTCATTTGGAGATTATAATATGATCACTGGACAGTGATTATTTCTTATTACTTTAGTTTAATTTGTATTTACTTTGGTTAAATCTACCAATTTTATTCATAAAATAAATTATCAAAAAAATTAATCACAATAGTATGAATACAACTTAAATTACTAAAAGTTATTCATGTTTATTTTTTTTTGACTGTTTATTACATTAGTAATTATTACACAAATAGGTATTGTTTTAAATATTAGTAATTGTTGTTATAATAACAACTAAAATATTAAAACTTTGATCAACGACTATGCTTATTGTCTTTACTGAAGTTAGAAAAATAATTAAAAAGTGTTTAATATTTAATGCTCTGAAAAATAATGCCATTTCTAGATAATGATCTAAAAATGTGTCAAAATTCAACTGCAAATAAACTATAGTGAACTGTTATTTACGTGAACCTCATTTTATTAATAAAGATGTAACTAGAAATTATTTCAATCACTGAATATGCTAGTTATATTTTTAGGCGTTACGATAATATGAATAATTAAGTAATAATCTAGATATAATGTAAACTATTAAATTAAAACTACATAGGTACATATAAATTGTATTTGTTATGACAGGAAAAGCAAAATTTAGTATAATGTTTGTCTGATGTTAGAGATATAACATTATTTTATATTATGATAAAATTTTGTTAATTAGTAATAGATCTCGCGACGATATTTTATGTGCAATTGATTAATTTAACTCAATTACTTTTTTTTTATCATAACTAAAAGAATTAGTAATTAGTAATTACCCATTCCGGAATTCCAGATAATTTATTGCGGTAAGGCAGTGATTTCATTGTCTTTGGTTGGTACCTATGGTGTTTTATTTGTCTATTATCACTTAACCGATCCCGTTCGTTAAATAAAATTATTGAATTTAAAACCATATATTATGTAGCCCGTGTAGGTACTATAATGAGTCAAATATAAACATTCGCACTGTTTGTATTGATAAAATAATAAATATTAAATTAAAATTGATTTTAATATTTCAATAGTACAAAAATAAAAAATTGATTTCAGTGGATATTAGCGATTATTACTTATTTTTATTTTCAAAATTTACAAGATTATTAATTTTGTTTAATCTTGAGAACAAAATGTCATAAACGAATTATTAATCGTGAATACAGTTGATGGTTTAAGTACCTATGTGACTTTGCATCAAGCAGGCACCTATTGATTTAATTTATTGTACTATCTTAGTATTTGTTTTTGTTAATATTAAATAGATGTGAGTACAGATTGGTTAAATTTTATTATTATTCCTTAATATTTATAAAACGGGCAGAGATAAATTCCGAGTGAGAAAAAATCAATTTTTTAAATAGGTACCTACGCCTTTAAGTGTTTGAACAAATGTTTATGTTATCGATTAATCGTGTAGGTAATTCATTTTAACCGCCTTTTTATCGGAAAAATACACCAACCATGTCGACTATTCTTCAGACTATATAGTACGTTTACGTGTAGATAGTTAGGTACTTACTATTTATATGATACAAATCTCGATTATAAAGGTATTAGTAACCTACGTGGCTATATCACTAATAATTGTGGTTCATGTCAGTCACGACGTATTTGATAAACATCTTGATCATTAAGTGTTTGAATTATTAAGTTTTTTAAAACATATTATTATTGTTTATTTGTCACTTGTCAGTAGATATGTGTCTAGATAAAAATCAAAATGCACTTAGTAGGTATAGTTCACTCGAAACACAAACCAATACCTAGTTAAATTGAAGTAGAAAATTCGATTTCGGTTTTCATAGCAATAAAATGTAAAACACCGTATTAATATCGTTATCATCCAACTATACGCCATGTTGAAAAACGCACTCAGAGTGAAATTGTCAAATAATTTCAAACGATTCAAAATAAATCCCCACAAGACGGTCGATATCGAGTCGAGTACGTGTTACTTCCTGGGTGTTCCCAAAATACCGTCCGACTCGTTCCGATCTGCTACGCTTTTCCCGACGATACTTGGCCAGTATTTGTGTTTGATACCAATATCGCAGGATCGTTTCTCGGTATACAGCGTAAGGACAGTGCTTTCAATAATTGCTCTTGTCTGTCAAATAGCCATGGCATTTTTGAGTTTTTGCTGGCTGAAGGAGTCCGGTGCCAACATATTCAGAGGAGGTCAGAGAATCTCGCCAGATTATTGTGATATACACTTTATAACTATATGCCAATACAGAGAATGTTTTACAGGTGTTGTTTTGTTCTTCAGTGGATCAGCCGTCACCATGGCGTTGCTCATCAACTTGTCAAGTAACTGGTGTAATCTCCTAAACAAATGGGAACAGGTCGAGGGATACTTCGGCCACCAAAAGCATTTGAAGTTGAAATTCATTTTCATATCTATTGTGTGTATTATTTTTTCAATGGGTAAGAATTTTACCTTAAAGCTCAGCATTTCTCGACCAATTTGTGTGGTAACATCCTATTGTGTATATTTAATATGATATAGCTAGGTATTTACTTGTTTAGGTTACATACATATATATATACCTAATGTATAGATATGTATGACAGAATGTAATTTAATTTTTTTGTTGATTGTACGTGATATATAGGTAATATTTTTTTTTAAGCACCAAATTTAATTTACTAACTTACATTATACACGTTTTTAAATAATATTAATAAATAAAATAAACAGTAAAATAAATTATAACGAAATTATAATTTATTTTTAAATAATATAATATACTCGTATTTATAATTATGTACGAGTATGGGTATACTTTATATACAACTTTTATACTGACTTATTAGATTTGATAATATTCTACGGGGCAGCAGATCTATCGGTAAATTGGGAATATATGAATTAGTAGTCGGGCTAGTCGGCGAATTGGGATTCGACAAAGTGGGTTTCAGCGACGTGAAAGAAAAGCACCCGTGCCACGGCTTTGTAATTACCTACGCTACTAGTTTTGAGTTTAAACAGCTATCGAATAGATTAGGTTAGATTAACTTATCATCCTTACTTAAATAATTGCCATAAAATATATATTATTGCTCGCATATAAAAATAATTCCACTAAAGCCCAGAATTTATGTATTGAATTTCAGTGGAACATCTGAGCTACTTGTTGACAGGTATCATAACGACGAAAAAGGAGAGTTCTCACGAAGTGTTTGAAATTTACGTTGTAAGAATGTTCCCACAAGTATTTAATGTAATTACATACAACACGTGGATAGCAGTGCTGGTTTTGATCATTAACTCTGTGTCGACTCTCACCCTCTGTTTCTCGGACCAGATTATCATCATGGGCAGCTTAGCACTAGGAAATTACTTTCAGATATTCAATGAGCGCATGAAAACACATAAAGGAAAGGTAAATCGTGAGAACATTTATCCAGTATATATTAATTATACTATTATATAGATATATCTATAGGTTAGGGGTAGCGAATCTATGGCATGCGTGTCAAAAGTGGCACGTTTGTTAAATTTTCACGGTACCCGAAAATATTTTTATATCATTGCTTAATCACGTGTTTAGTGAAAAAAAGAGAACAAAATTATTTATTATATTTAAAAATATATAATCATCAGTTATAAAAGTTTGAAACGCATTGCTTCCAGTTCCAGATATAATATTAAAATTGATTCTTTCCAAAAAAACTTAATTTTTGTATCAACACATAAAAGTATTTGAAAGCTGATTTCCATAATGAACTATTTCAAAATAAAACAGAGGAATAATACAATATTGGATAAAACTAATGTTGCTTATTTTTTATTAAACAATTTTGTAACTAATAAAACATACAACTGATTTTAAAATAAATTCACTATACTTTTTAAAATCTCCATCATCTTGAAAAAGTTTATACTTACCTATGAACATAATATATATTACTGTCACGTAAATTATTTTTAAGACTTTGATTACAATAACATTTGGGTACATGACATGAAAAAGGATCGCTACTTTTGTTGTAGGCTACACATATAAATTTACAATACGTACAATACGTTTATCAATCAGTGACATCATTTAGGGAGGTGGTGACTTGTGCGATTGACCCAGTCAAGTGTTAGTCTCGCTTTACCCCAAATTAGTATATTTAAAGCCAATGACGTAAATGTTAATAAAAAAAATTAGAAATCTAAAAATTATCAATAATCGATTGGTCGATACGGTTGAGTTTAAGGACGTTTGCATAGACTGATTATTTATAATACGAGTATATGGTGTTATATGTAGGTACATAAAACGTGATATGAAAGTGTGACATTTTTGAAACTCCATAGAATAATGGTGATTTATCTGCATATACTAGTTGTAAATCACTATTAAAAAATGTTTTGCAAAAGGTTTATTTATACATTATTTATGTGTTTAATAATTTTACTTTTTTTTAAATATTTTCGAATAACATCAACATAGTTATCACTTATATATTGGTTGGATGACGTTCTTTGTATACTTTAATATATACGCCTTCGCCATGTGTATAATATAACTATTTCAGCATAAAAAAAAAATTAGAGTTACGAATCAACAATAGGCAAAAAAAATAAAAAAATAAGTACCTTACCTAACTTACCTTTTTTACAGCGATAAACAATACTGATACATTTTATTCTATATATGTTTAATATTTTTAACATTTATTTCACACCTACTCTAGTTTTAATCTTGAATTTTTGAAGCTACTGCCTTAAAAAAAAAAAACATTCTCTGACGCGCCATTGTTATACTGTATGACAAGTGCACTTATTATTGAATTGTGTGCATTGTAGAAATTGACACCGGATGAATGGAAGACATTGCGAGTAGACTACACGCGGCTGTGCAATTTGGCTAGATTGCTGAATGACTGTTTATGTCATTTGTTGTGCGTATCTTTGCTAATACACGTTTACATCATATGCGTTGAAATGCATCAGGGTGTCGTGTAAGGATATGTTTATTGTATTAATTCTAGTGTTAAGTTAATGTTGTATATATATTTATTAAGGGAATTTTAAATGGATTGTTGTCATTCCAAAGTACTGATCGATTAAATACGCAATTAGAGATATTCGATAATAATTTTAGATTCCTTGTGCGTAGTCCGTCTTTATATCCTGTGAACAACTCAACTTTGAATACAATCTTGTTTAAAAATGTAAAAAAATTTAACGGGAAATTTTCAAAGTCTAATGAAATGTATTTTTATCAAGACGGATCCATTGCTTCAATCTTCAATATATCTAAAAGCTCTATTTGACTAACCATATAATGAGTATACTGTATAGGTAATATATAAATATATCATACTCATAGACTGATCCCGTGGGTGGTCTGTGAATTAAAATTAAATACTCGAATCAAAGTACTGGCCTCTATCACAGAATCGCCGCTAGTGCTCTGATCATCAATTCAAACTATTTACTAAAGTGTATTCGTACCACCATCATCCGGATTTGATTATATGTCTATACATTTCATTTATAACCATACGTATTTGAAAAATGTGCCAGTGCGACTATTCAAAATCCTAGAAGACTTTAAGTTATCTTTATTACACTGAATAGTTTGACGCTTCTTTAAATGTACACATATTCAACTGTGAATTCGCTTCTTAAAATAAATAAATAAATAGAATAAGTTAATCTTAATCCAAGATTCTGATATAGATTGAATATTCGATTACTTATGTACAGCTATTTAAATATATATTTTGTAATTCACAAGATTTAATGATATAGCATACATTTATAATCGTAATAAAAGACATTTTAAAATTAGGTATTTTTCATCTAAACAAATATGTGTATTTATTAAAAATAAATTTACTGTTCTTGGTTTTTACTCAAATAAGTTTAAATTGAAAACAATTTAAATCGTATTTAAAAATACAAATACTATAAATTACAATGAGTTTTCGATTCTTCACGCCTTATTTCTAAATTAAATTAAATTATCATTATTATCATTTATATTATTTAAATGGTTAAAAAAACAAATTAAATCAAACCGACAAACACCAATATCTCATTTAATAGGTTACCGATATCATTAAAAACCATTGACCCAAATAATACAATTTCAAGTAAATATCTATCTAAATATACTCTTAAACAAACCATAGGTAACAAAAACGATTTTTTATTTATGTTATAACATTAACTTAAATTTGAGTTCGTAAATTGTGTGGCAATTTATATTGAATTAATTATATTCAGGCAAACAAATGAAAATAACAGTCTAAGTCACTATGTTCATGCCATACTTTCGTTTTTGGTTTCTTCATTGAGAGGATGTTTATTGTGTCTGTGCTCCGTTCAAATATACGAGAACAGCAAATTGCCAAAAAAATCGCTTTATGAAATACCACAGCAATCATTTTGTAACGAGGTGAGTTCAGCTTATTATTGTTTTCTAGTTGTAAAAGCGTAAATACAGTATAGCAGTGATTTAATGAATAATTTATTATATTTAATAATATTTGATTAGGTGGAATTTTTTTTGTTGCAAATACAAAAAGATCACGTAGGACTAACCGGGAGCCACATGTTTTTAATGACCAGAAAATTCTTATTAACTGTGAGTATTGGTTACTGTACCTAATTTAAATTTTTTCATAATAGTTCAGTTTAGTGTATAAATATGTATTTTTGTTATAGATGTTTGGTACAATTGTTTCTTATGAAATATTACTTGTACAAATGAAAGGATACAGTTCTCGAAAAAACACTTAAAGATTCAAAGTCACCCGTAGAGCCCAGCCCCAATCAGTGCTGGTTTTCGATTTATCTTCTAACTTAATCATCAAACCGCCTTCTGCCTTTTGACTCCACTATAACAGTCCAATGAAATCCAATAATTAATGTGAAAAACAAGTCATAATGCAATTTATTGTACCTATGCATATTATACAAAATACCTACACAATATTATGTATAAATGCAAAAAGTTACTTATAGGTGCTTATATAATATATATTAAATTACCTTAAGTTTACTTTGTGTTTCCAACATAACAATAGACTCAATATTTAATTTGTCCAGACAAGCAGAATTGAGTAGATTATCATCAGGCCATTGCAAAACTATCGGATAAATTGTCGAAGTATTTTTTCCTTGCGTATACCTTAAAAGTTAAAACCAAATAATATGTATAATAAATGTACAAACATTTTAAGTACATTCATTTCAGTTTTACCATAAGTTCGGATGTTGTGAATCATTTTGACACGTCAACCACGGATTAGTATCAAAAATAGATTCCCCATTAATCGATAACCATTGACCAATTTGTAGCAACCGTTCTTCGTGCAATGGCGGTATCATGCCATCACTGGTAGGGCTAATATTTAGTAACAAATTACCTGTGAATTCATATTTTTCTTTTTAATTATAATATAGGTATTATTGTTATGTGAGTATATTAAATATATAATGTGTACAATGTACATTGTACTCAATGAATATAATAACGCAAATTAATTTATAGAGTTAAGTGTATTATACTCTATAGGTACACTGTGTATAGTTTACCTCCAAAGCTTACTGTTTCGACTAATTGAGCGATTAAATCTTGTATTGAGTATACATCTAATGCTCGAGCATTTCTCCTGTAGCCCCACGAATATTTGTCTACTGTCATAGCGTTTTCCCATTTTCGACCAACAACTTTTCCTGTAATATAAATAATATGTATAATTATTAGACTTTGTACTACCACAGTGGTTTATAATATATAATAATATAGTTTCTAAGTTTTTACTGTTTACAAACTGGATTAATCTTTTATCAAAGAACAATCATTATTTAAAAAACTATTAAAATTTTTGATTCATAATAGTTTTTTATTATTATTGTTTTTTAATAAAACTGTTTTATTTTTTAAATTACGACATGCATTTTTAATTTTTATTTCAAAGCAGAATATTTTTCAATGTAAAATAAAAATTTTTACAGGTGGTTTATGGTTTATGTATTATAAGTGTTTTAAAATTTGATAAGCGAAGCGGAATGGTGTTACTACAAAAGATAGATAGGTAGGTAATCCGCAAAATCTATTAGTTCACTGTTCCGTTCATATAAACTTTAAATAAATACTTATAACAGCTATAACTAATTAACAAGATAGTCGTTCGTAATTTGATTTTCATACCTTTATCAAAAATACTCCGTAATATTCTGCTTCGGAACACAAAATTAAAAATATCTATGTCACAAACAACAGTTAAAAGCTTAAAAAATTGTAAAAATACAATATTTTTTCCAAAGTGATATTTATTAATTATTAACGAATTAATAACAAATAAAATAAAATATTAAATATAAAACTTAAATAGTTTTTTAAACAGGTAATAAATAATTTTCGATAAAATATTTATCCTGTGAACACATCCACGCTACATCTACGCTTATATTCGAAGTTAATTAAATCCAATTTTATGTTTGAATCTATGATTTTATTATATTATAAAATACCTGGTTGATATCTATCTGCACAGGTCATAAATCCTCCATGCTTGCATAGTGTATCGCCACCCCACCGATCATTCACCACTATTGTGTCTTTAACAGGACTGTCGTTGTAGAGCCATGCGAGGAAGTTCAACGAATCCCAGTAAGTGTCTGGTGCTTCCCATTCGCCGTCCGACCATAAGATTTCCGGTTTGTAATGGTTAACCTATATAATATATTGTATACGAGCGTATGATAATATTTGATAAATTTTCATTATTATAAAAAATATTTATAATTATTTGTATTGTGCCGGTTACACGTATAAGTTTATTATAATGTATACTATAATTATTAGTATTCTTACCAATTCGTAAAGTTCTGGGAGGACTTTCTCGGTCACAAATGTGTTGGAAGTTAAATTTGATTGTTTGTCCTGTAACCAAAGTGGGTTAAACCATTCGTACAACGAATGGTACACCCCAAAACGAGTCTTGTTTAAACTTCTAATGGCTCTGCTTAGGTCACCTTCATGCATTAAAAACACAACAATAATATGATAATTGATAATACATCATCATACGCCGTAAAAATGTCAACTCCGTAATTGTTTATATACGTACCTACTAAATCTCTATGGGGCCCGACGTCTACAGAGTTCCATCCGAATGATTTTTTCGATGGCCACAACGTGTAACCTTCGTGGTGTTTAGTGGTCAATACTACATACCTAAAAATATTTAAAAATAGTTGTGTTATTGTAACAAACGACTAAAAATGAGTATAATATTAGACTTTAGCCCATAAGCGCAAAGTATGGCCCAAACGCAACCCAAAAGCGCTGCAAAAATAAATATTCCATAAGCGAATATTGATAAAACTCAATCACTTTTGACGTATTTTTGAATTATAAAAATATTGTATATTTCATTGAAATTAATAATTAATAATTTTAAAATTAAACTTATATACAGTGTATGACGGGTACAATATTTATTTTTGCGTTTTTATCCCATTACTAAGGTACAAAAGCGCAAAATGAATTTACGCTTTTGATCTATCGAAAAAAAAAATAGATAATTTGCGCTTTTAAGATGGGTTTTATAGTAATAATATATTATACTAATTAAAATTAAATATAATGTGTACGGATAGTTTTAATTATGTTTAATTATTTTTCTGTTTCGTGTTTTAAGCTCATGACAAAACTAACATAGCGATGGCCCTAATTGTATTGCACAGCACGAATTTTTTCAAATTTTGTGCGACAAAAAATTGTGGCCATTAGTTTGAGTCTTTTGATGTATAATATCCATCAATATCGTCGTGGACATTTCAAGCGATCCTACACAGTTTGTAAAAAAGAAAAGCTTTTACCTATAAGTAAATTTATAATGTCTATAGTTACTTTGCACCGGAGTCTTTGATGATACTGGCCCATTGCATAGGGTCAAAGAATTCCGCGGTGAACTGGGGACCAAATTCGTGGTACGTGAAACCTGGCTTGAAATTTTTTGTCATAAAATTTACATAATTTACGCCCTTTCTACCTGTAATAAGTCGAATAAATATGAAAAATAATTATTAGGTATAGTATTCGCAATTATATAACTCAAGGATTATTATTTATTATCATAGCAAATGTAAGCGGGTTTTCGTCATTTAGACGTTAACTCTACTTTATAAAATATTAATTTAACAATATTGTTTTTGTATAACAATTAATCTTAATTTATTTTTATGAATAACTTCGTTTAAAATGTTTAAATATGATTAACGCGTTTGTTGTGTAATTATTATAAATGTCTATGTACGTCTATTGTATTTTTAACAAGACACAAATATAGCATTAAAGAAAAATTTGATGCAGTGTACTTTTATCTTGTTAAACATACAATGGACAATGATTTATGTAATTGTACGCTCATAATAATTGTTCAAACGAACGTTAATTTAAGCATATTAAAGCAATAAGGTACAGGTAGCAACTACCTACTTGGTAGTTACTACTATAGTAGTCCTAATGATTAAAATTTACTCACGGAAACCGTCGGGGTAAACAAAAAAAATAAAAATAATAATTCCTAAGTAAACCTTGTTATGATTCAGAATCCTAGTGATGTTATAATGATGTAAAATCATCATAAATTATTCGAATTGATAGTATATTGTATAGGTCTTAAAATTATGTTTATGCATTTTTAGCCGATATAAATATGCAGTAATGCAAAATATTAATTTATAATAATTATATTATAAAACGTTAAAAAAGTAAAAATACTTTTATTTTTCTCTGTTATTAAATTAAGTCATAATGAAACGTATAGATAACGATAAAATATTGTAGCAGATGATATTATTTATGTTACTGTGTCAGTTTAGAAAGAAATAAAAACATTGTAATGGAAATTACTATTGTCTATTAAATAAAAATAATAATAGTATATATTGCATATTATAATCAAGTACGGCCAGGATTTTTTTTATTAAGGGGGGGGGGGGGAGGAATTTGAATACAATTTTTTTTTTATTTTCTTCCTTGAATACGTACTTGTGTATAATAACTTTCAAAATCAAATTCATCAGTATTATATATACATTTAATATTTGATTAATATTTATAAATCATGAGTAGAATTTATTGAAAGATTATTAATATTAATTAAAAAATAAATAGTTTATACAACCAAAGATACTAAATTAATTTTGTTTTGTTTTTGCTTAAATTATAATTTATCACAACAAAAACGAGTTTAAATAATAATATATATCGTAATAATGCGTCATGATATTGTACAGGCGATTCATCAAGCATGCTTACCCCTAATTTTTTCTTTAAACGATTAATTTGTTTAAATCCTGATTATTTAAATGTTCAAGTACACTAAAGTATCATTCTATATATATTTATATAATATGTATATTTTTATATACTTAGATTTTTAATCCATATGAAGAATATTTTGTGGTGAATGGTACTAAATTTTTTTTCAAATGAGAATCACCTTTTTCCTTATAAATTAGTAATCATAATATAACTGTTTTGAAAATGTTGATGCACCTATTTAAATTAAACTTTAAACGAGTAGGTTTTGAATTTTTTGATTTTCTGTACTAATTATAATAGGCCTATGATAATGAATTTAGAAAATATGGGGGATATGATGGTTTAAAAATATTAATACATAATTATTATTAATCAGTCAACATTTTATTATAGTTTTTAAAAAATTCCTAGTATAATAAATACTAATTCCATTATTATAGATATTTTAAATTTTTGTAAAACTATTGTCTTTATTATATTATACATTATAGCTCTGCACTTTTATTTAGATACTTATAACTAGGGCTAGGATTTATATGCAATAAAAAATTGTAAAATATGCATTTGGTTTTTTAAAAATATGAAATATATACTCAAACAATAAAATTAAAATAAATACGTTTTAAAATGAATAAAATATTATTCTTAATTATTCACACTATTCAAATGTATTACACGAAACCAATACATAGTTATTTAAATTTTCAAAATTGAACGATCTACTGTTTAGACCTTAATATAGATATCTTATATAGGTATTTTTGAACAGTGTCAATACATACTGTGAGTGTTTATCACACACAAAATCGTCTAGTAACGAAATTCAACATAAAACATGCATTTTTGCTTTTTATATTCAAAATATGCAATATAATATTCATTTTTCCCAAAATATACAAAAATATGAAAAATAAAAACACCAAAATTTACCTCATCATGAAGTAATTCTTGTACATTATTAATAAAAGTAATAATCAGAAGTTGCTAAAAACACATGCTGTTGTATAAAATCCTATTGTTATTTATAACCTTTAAAAAAATATCATTTGCTTAACAATTAATAGCAACATTTAATTGGTTCTCATTTGAAAGAAAAAAATTGTATTGCCATATAAGACAATTATTACTTATGGATTATAAGTTATTAGTTATTAATTATTATATACATGCGCGGGCTGTCGGGATGCTGGGATGTTACAACATTACTTGTCCTAAAATATATTTTTCCCTTTCGGTTTAAATGTGACTTAATGTATTTACTAAACAACTGTAGATCTTTAGGAAATCTATTTATTTTTTTTTATATAATATTGTAAACATTTTATTGAATGTTGGTATCTATGTTTAGGTTTTTAACGTGTTTTCAGTATTTTTATAACAAAATAAAATATTTTAATATTTCATAAATAATCTACATATTTTAAATTTGTTATTCGCCCTTTAAATTATTTAGCATAATTCCGTGACCTTTTTTACCAGTACGCGCCTGATTACATTTAATGAAATGTATATAAATCTTAATAATTGAAAATATTACGGTTCTTGGATAAACTTAAAAGTTTCAAAGTTCAGAATTTGAATAAATGTATGGTAATAAAAAAAAAAAAAAAAAAATTGAGGATAAGCATGTTAATTGGTGAATTGCCAATAATATACAGATAACCCTACAATGCACGCGTTACCTCTCCAGTTCATCCAAAACCATTCACCGCCAAACGCTGGCACTGAGTACACACCCCAGTGGATAAACACGCCGAACTTGGCCTGGTCGTACCACGCGGGCAGTGGTCTGGCGTCCAAGCTGGTCCAATTAGCCTCGTATCTGTGGACGTCGGCCGATTCCGCTGCTGCGCATGCTGAGGAAGAAATCCACACAGCGACGGCGACGGTAAAGACCACGTCGGTCACGCGGCGGAGATTCGACATTTATCCTTATTTGCTGGACACGATACTAGGTGTATCGAAAATATTTTATTACGTTGCGTTTTTGTGTACACTTTCTAGCTTGCCTGACGACGATACTGCAGGACAGACAGCAAAATTGTGATACAATAAAAATTTAAAAAATGATGTATATGTAGCCACGGCCGCACGGTCGTCGTTGTCGTCGGTTGCCTCGCGAACGACTGACTGCAACTGCTGGTTATGAGATGTATATACCTTACAGAGGTCACAGGACGTGGTACAACGTAAGGCATTCGTGAGGACAGACTTCCGCAATATTTGCATAACGTAACCACGGTATATATTGAACATATCGCATTAATACTAGATTATAAACATACTTATATACAATACGTATGCGCGATCGTCTATACTCTATACCATAAAAATTCGTCGTTGAATTTTAAATAAAAACTCACAAAAATTTCGAGGTCGTATTTACATATTATACGCGTGTATTGATAAATTGTTTATTTGTATATATATAATATACACCGAGATACGCAGATAGTCTTGACGGAAAACTGGTCGAGTTTTATATGTGTTTATTTTATAGGTATCTACATCCGCGTTAGTTGTGCGTGTGACACGTACGAATTCTTCATACACCACACCACCAATTTAATCATCGCGCGAGGACGCACTCGCAAAAACATTCATTTATTATACTTTGAGGAGATTTGAAAATTTCGTACACTGATATTAAGTTCACATAGGCACGCCATATTTACCGAGACACGTCGTATGTTTGGAATGTTCAGGATTTCGAGAACGAAAAAGGTATTAGGTATAGGGATGTGGATGAGAAACACAAAATTCGAAAGACCCTGTATAATATATTTAAACAATATCATGGTGTATATAATACGGTATACCCGTACAACTGTTTATCATTGACCTTTATTGTAGACACCGTTTTTTTACCCATACGCGCGTGTTGCTCCGTTGTATTCATTAGAAACTATTATAATATTGTCAGATTAATTAATTCCAAACTTCAAATTCTTATGTACACTGTACAAGCTACTGATATAGTGCGTAGTGTATACTCATATATGTGAAAATAAACTTAATGTAGCCGTGTAGGTACTTATCGAAAACACGAAAAATAATAAATAGGCATGCAACAGCAATATTGTGTCCATCATTTTTTTAATGTTACTATATATAATCTCTGCATGTTAAAATGTCTCTTATACAGCCCGAATTTCGTACTATTAATACAAATAACAATATTATCAAACTCAAACATACATTATAGTACGTTATTACTTGTTATATTGCATTTATGTTGTTAATATTCGTAATAATAGGTGTAAAATGATGTACTATGTTACTTGCTACATATTTTGTATACTTAGATACTATATATACAGAGCCGGCGCGAGTTATTTTGCCGCCCTGGGCTAAATTATAAATGCCGCCCTATTAAAACTATAAATAAATAAAAAAATTAAATAATCATATGATACAAATTATGCAATAATATTGGTTTATCTAAAAACATTTATTTTCATAGTCATAATATTTTCGTCATAAACATAAAATTAAAGTATAAAATAGTCTTTACATAACACATAGATATAAATATACTAATAATGTTAATACAATTATAAAATTGCGAAAGTTTTAGCTAAAATGCCGCCCTGCCTTCCGCCGGCTCTGTATATATACTATTTGGATCAAATTAGAGGAGAATTCATGACTTGGAACGTTTAAGTACCTATTAGAAAGTTTTATTACCCAAAATTCAAAATCTTCATGCACAGTGCTCATTTTATATATTTTTTTTGTACAAGTAGTATTTTTTATTAATACAATATATGTCTGTTGCATACTTGCTTCTATAGTTTCTTTAATTTGCTTAATCATTGTAGTGCAATAATTAATTTGAGACATCAAGCTTTACTTTTAATGAATTTGAATTGAAAAAAAGAAATTAAATGACACCGGCGGTAGTAATTTTATCGATATTGTGTGATTGTGAAAGAGAAAATTTGATGAGAAACAAAATAAATATAATATGTGCTATAGATAATAGTAAGCACTATAAAATTACTAATATGCATTCAATATACATTTAATAGGTAAAATCGTTGAAATATGCAAAATATGCAAAATAAAACACACACACACACACACACATATATATAGGGCTAGAAAGTTGTAGGAATATTGTTCTATATACTCTCAACTTATTAGTAAACCAAGTTTGAAATCTGAACTGTACAATGGTTAGTTAAAAAATTGAAAATTGAAAATGCATATTTTGTCAATTTTAGCTAAAAAAAAAAGTGCATATTTCATTGATTTTATACACATATTATGCATATTATCATATTTTCCTAAAAAAATTAATTTTTTTCTTTTTTAACCTGTACATTTAAATTAGTATTGATTATAAAACTCAAAATCTTCAACAAAGGTATTTATCGTAATTTCAAAAATACTGAAAAAAATTTTAATTATATTTTTAGCTTATAATAAGATATCAAAATGCCATCCAGTTATAAACAGTTTTTATGTATATTATCATTTTATTAATTTTCATAACATTTGATGTGTTCTTATTTTTTTTGGAATTTAGAATAATTTTTTGCATATTTAACATCATTTAAATGCATATTTTGTAATTTTTTCATGAATATTTTGCCTTTTTTACATTTAACTTCCGAGCCCTACATATAAACATTTGCATATAAATTCGGTCTCTAGTCATGACTCATGTTATCATCCCAATGTACAATGTTTACATTTTATTTAAATTAAAAACATTAAAATATGATCTAGGTAAATCAATATGTTACAATGTTATTGTTCCAGAATACTGATTAGCTATAGGTACCTACTTATTAGAATATTAAATATTATCATAACTTCACTATTTATTTCTATGACACATGAATCATAAGTTTGTTGAACTCTTATAATGAGCTAAGGAGCATAGGAAGAAACTTCATAATACAGGAAAATAGCCGTGTGAAGTAATGATTAATATTTAAACCAAAAATACCAAAAATAGTAAATACGTAAAGCCACAAATTTTTAGTAGAACTTTAGCTATATAACTCAATTTGATATAATTGGCACGTATCTTACGTGGACGTGAAACACTGAAATTATATTCTAAAATGCTCAATAAATTGTCAATATACTCATAAGTATAACCTTTATGTTTGTATACTCTGATACTCATCATGTTGTCAATGTTATCATGCAAGGAAATTTATTTGCAAAAAACATGAACAAAAATGATAAAAAGAGCTCGGTCGTCAGTATTAATAGACAACGGTATTAAATTTATTAAATATATCAAAATATAAGAGATTTTTATCATGACAATTTTTGATAGGTACATTGTACATGTGTAATATAGATATATGGTATATAATGCCAAAAATAACCAGACAAAATTGTGCATTATTTAATAACTTGAACGGATTCAAGTAATCAACATTCAACTCCAGCAATTAATTATAGCTCGCCATACGATTCAAAGACATAAAAAAATCGTAAAAATATTATACGCAAGTTGAATATGCAACATTTTAAACATTTATAATATAATATAATTATTGTTCTACAAGTTAAACTCATTGTGTTTTAGAATTTTTCCATACAAATGAAAGTCAAGATTTTTAATTTTAACAAACCAACGTGACTGTAATACACGAGCGGCAATAGCGACTACTTTGGTGACGGAAGTTGATGATTTTTTTTTTTTAACAAAGTAGAGTAATAATTCAAATAATTGTATTTTCAAAGATTTTTTTTTGTGTAATAAATGACGTGGGCCATGAGAACAATGTGAAAGCGATTCTTGACTCTTGTACCAGTTTTAAGTACATATTATGATGTAAATACATTATAGTAAAAAAAGAACTGTAGAGAAACTCGCTAAGAGAAGTTTTATTTAAATTTATTTTATACTTGTTTAATATTTGCTCTAGTTGATGTTGTTCATTAATGTCTAACTACAAATTACAATGACTTTAAAGTATAGATTTAAGTTTATATTATGCATATTATATATTTCAATATTATAAATATAATAAAATAATAATATAATAATATAATAATATTATATATTTCAGTATTACACAAACTTATGTGTATAAAAGTACAAAACCCAAAGACTATACAAAGCTGCGTATTCATTTTTAATTAAATACAACGAACTACTTAAGCATAACTGAAAATTCGTTGTTCCGATTTTCAATTTCGACACAAAGACAGCTTTAAATGGTTTGCATTGTTAATATTAATATAATATTCATGTGGCAAATGAAATAGTAGACAAGGTGTGTCTCATATTGAAATAAGCAGTTCTGACACAATAAATGTACATAAATACTATCACGAAATGACGAATTATTAGAAATCAATTTAGATTCGTTAGTATATTACTGACATGGTATGATACCTAGCGCTAGCAGTAACGGTCTGGCCTACTGTGCTACTATTCTTTTGTACAGTAGGACGTTAAGAACACTAATAATTATAAAAATGCTACAGCAATTTAAGGTTTGGTGTATAAAAAAATAACATTTATTTTATTTTTTAACTTTTATTTGAAAATATATAAACTGTAAAAGTATTTTTTATAAAAATCATGTGCGATGCGCAAGATATAATTATAAGGTAAATAATATCTTTTGATCGTTATTTGCGAATAAAATTATACGATAAATAAATAAGCTTATCAAAAAATAAGCGTAAATGTTATGTATAAAACAAACAAAATAATAATTTTAAACTTCATAGCAAGTACCTACCTATAATTTTCTATGCTTCAAAATTCATAAATTTTAAAATGATACAAATGAATTTTTAACGATAAACACGTTTCCACCATTTTTACCATAGACGTGCAGAAATAAACGGAATAGATAAAATAGATTCAATCTATTCGACTATTCAATGATTCCACCGCTGAAATAGGTATTGTCTAATGTCTATCAGCTACCACCGAAACTCGGGCAATCACATAAATATTAAATACTAAATAGTAAATAATATAATATACTGATAAAATACTAGAAAAAGAAAATGGTTGAAAATAAAACTAAAAATAGATATCGCGTTAATGGGTATATTATTAATTATTAATAAATAATAACTAACCAGTAATTACCAATATGATAAATTGATAATGATTCCAATGCATCAAAACATATTAAGTATTAAGTTAAGTTACCAAATCAGTTAGTAGTTAGTACCTACCTACTACCTATTTAATTATTATATATGATGACATTATTGACATTGCAGCGTAAAGTTTGGTGTCGATCGATTTCATGTGACTCAAATCCTTCCGTGTTACAGTTATCCGTCATCGCAATATCCTACTTTTTAAGTCAAAAGTCCGCTTGCAGTTCACTCTTAGAGTAATACATTTTATCAATTGTCTTAGAACTAAGTTGATCCAAAATGCCACGTACCAAAAGAAGAGCAGCCAAGCGTTCGACTGTTGAAACAAACTCGACTGCTGTAAATGCTACAATGGGCAATCCATCGAAAACTATGAAAGATATTTTATGCGAATTTGACTGTGAAAGTAATATGCATGCCATATTAAGCATAGGTATCCATTTTATGTATTTATTAATGTGTGTTTGTTTTTTTTTTCGTTTTTAGAACAAAATATTGAAAATTATTTTTTTGCCATATTTGAAAACTATAGAAATTTAATTGAAAATTCATTTTTAATGACAAAAATGAATATTGGTGATTTATTACACAGTAATCTCTATGACACGGTGAGCATAATAATATTATTTTGGTATCAATTTTAATAGCTATTGGATTATAGACCATAATAAATATTGGATATTGAATTTTAATCAAATTATATTATATCAACATAAGTATTAAACTTAGTATTATACTGTCAATTATATTATACAGAAGTAATTATAATTAATTTTTGTAGATTTTTAAACAATATCTAACAAAATCCAACCATGTAACTAAAGAACTTGAACAACCTTCAAGGCCAATTACCAAGTATGCAGAAAATAGAATGACCAGACAAAAAAGTGGTAAGAAGTGCCTATTAAAAATTGTAAATTCATTTGTTATCAATATAATATTTGTTTTGTGCTATCATTATGGTTACAACTCACATAACTTCAACCTATACACTTAATACAATATATTACTGTATACATTATTTGTAGAATAGGTACTATTTTAATAACATATTAATGTCAATCTCAGATTTGAAATGCTAAAACATATTATTTTTCTGTATCAATCCCGATGATTATATTTCATTTCCATTATTATAATAGGTACTATAATTGATTTTACATTATATATTCTAAAACCAATGGTAATAGATTAATCATTGGTTCATTATTTGTAGAATTTTTTTCAAATACAAAAATTATTAATTATCAATATTTTTTCATTTTTGTAAAATTTGTACTCTAATTTATAAAAAATAGAATATTGTTGGTTTGGCTAGAGCCCTTATTAGTTGTGGGCCAGTAGCTTTGCCCATCTTGCTTACCCTGTGTTGACGCAACTTTAATTGAGTAAATAAATGATACAGTATTTAGAAACAATGACCTTTAGTTATAGATCTTTATGACTTACAGTTCAAACATTTAAATAGTAAATACTTTATAATTGGTTAAAGTGATTTAAAAAAAAAATGTTGTGGTTATAATACAAATTAGAGTTTTAACTACTGTATTAATTTTAGATTTGTTTCAGGTATTCTGTTTTATTGAAAAAATGTATTGTTAATTTTTTTTCAAAAACATTAATAGTACTAGATCATAATAACTTTTTATTGTTCTTTCAGTGTCTGTTTCAGTATTCAAGACCAATGGTTCTACTGCTTCTAAAACAGTAATAAAATGCTGTAGTACTACACATATTGATGATGATCAGCCAGTATTAACAGGAATAATAGAATCTAAATTTAAAGTAAATATTATAATGTGTGAAGTATTAATACTTAAATAACTAACTTAAACAAGTACTCATTGATATTGATAAAGTCTTTCTAAAACTTAAAATGTTCTTTTATGAAATTTAAATGTGTGAGTAAATAATAAAATTTTAGAAAATAATGTTTTTAACTAAATATTTTTTTTCTTAATACTTAATTGATATTTGGGGTTGTTACTTTAAATTTTAATATAAAAACTAATGAGTTACGCACAAAACATTGAACAATTACATATTCTAATTCAAATATTTTTTTATAATCAAAGCATTTAAAAAATAATAAGCAATTAAATATAATTTATAATTAATGTAAATTTTAATTGCCAAAAAAAAAAAAAAAACAAGATAAATTATTTTTATACTATTAAGCAATTAAATTTAAATATATAATTAAAATAATTTGATAAATTAATTTTTCTTTATCTAAAATTTATATCTAATCTCTAACAAAAAATCATCATTTTTTTATTAGTAGTATAAAATTTATTTTAGACTTTTTTTAATGCTATTTTTGATATATTTTTTTTTTAAATATAAAACAAATTTTACTAAAAATATATATATTTTTATTTCAGACTCCAATTAATCAACTACCCCTATCTTCTTTAGCAACAATTACACCAAAATTAAATATGAATGAACCTATGTCTATGATGAGGCGTCCAAATCAAGGAGAAATTGCACTTTCAATGACAGGAAGTCCACTCATGGTTTCATCGGTTTCTAGAGATGACATGGCTACAGTCAGTGTACCATTAGCCAATGGAAATGTAATTAAAATTTAAAAACTATTTCTGTAACAGTCGTCTTTTTACTTATAGGTACTTTTAAATGTTATTATTTTTAAGGTTCTTTCCATATTACCTAGAGTTGGTTCTACTATGGACATATCATTTGATGAACAGACTAAAAGTGAATTACTTATTCTCAAGAAAAATATTGAAGGGCTATTGAAAATGAATGAAGGTGTATGAATATACAAAAAACATGTATTTTCTATTTATCTAAAACAAAACATTTATAACTATGTACTGATAAATAGGTGCTTATTATTTTTGTTTCATATACCATGTATATTTTTTATAATTATAACTTCTAAATTTATTGTTGAAAAATATTATAGTAATTAAGTGTGTTTATAAAATTTTAAGTAAAATCTAGTGTAGTTTGATGTGTTTTAACATACCTAAAATAGTAAAATAAAATACATTATGTTTAAATTGATTTATCATACTAGGTTTTTATAATTGCTTAATAGTTAATAAACCCTAAAATTAAAATTAAAATAATTATCTTATTTGGGTTTATATTGCTTATATATTGAAAGTATAAATTTATATTATATTTTATGTACCTATAGATCGTGATTTATATAATATAAGGATATTAGGTGCACTTATATATAAAAAAAAAAAATAAATACTTTATACTTCAAATACTAAAGATTAATGTAAATGAACAGAGGATATATCGTATAGATTTACAAATGGTATCCATAATATGACTACAAATAATTTAATTTAGCTATGTACTGATATAAGTACCTACTATGATAGAAGAAACCATGTTATTTATTATTTTATGGAAAGTTCTTAAAATTTGAAATGTTTCAAAATAACAGATTAAGATTGTTTTCTCTTAAACCTATTATAGAGTATTAAAGTAATGTTAAATATTGTCAAATAAATGTAAGAACTTCTGTCTAAATAATAAATTGGTTTTAAGTTTTAAATCATAGTATCGTCATTTCTTTAATTAATATCAATGAGATTCGCTAAAACAAAGAAATTAATAGGACACTGCTGCTTTTCGATTATTTTCGTTCTTAAAAATAAAACCTAAAGTAGGAATGTTGATACAATTTAAACCTGGAAACTATGGGTATGTACTCACTACTCATAGTCTTGTATTAATAACTTAAATTAATACATTTTTTTTTTTTTTTTTAGTATTCCATTCTTATCTCCTTTCTTTTGAGATATAACTAAATACATCTGTTCTAAATATTCTTTGGTAATTTGTCAAAATAAAGTTTAAACGCCGCTTTACCCTTAATTTAATAGCCAATAAGTAAACAATATAATTATGAACTTATTACTTATAGTATTATACTTATTATAGTTACCTATAACATTATAATATCTATTATCTAGTCACTAAATAATAATAAAATCACATTTTTTAACTCCTAGATTGCATTGCGGTTATCATTTTGTATTACTGAATCGAAATCACTATTCATCTATTTAAACGTTAGTGGTTATCTGTGATGGTTACAATGATGCGAAATGGATTTTATTAAGCGTTCAGTATTCACCTATAACGGCTGTAACCTGTAGACTGTAAGTGACAACTATCAATTTTTTTTTTCATACTTTTTAATGTCATGCACAACGTATTTTGATGTAATGAATTTGATTGATAAACCTCGAGAATTCTAATTATTAAAGTTTATGATTATAATCATAATACACATATTATATTGTTATGAGATCTATACAATTCACGATCGAAGCAGAATCACGGTCATCGTTCGTGTTTATACTTTATAGGCGCTACATTATGCGGCAAAATATTTACATTGGTACATATTATATTGACTATTCTTCCGGAGCGTAGTGTAATCACTATTTACGTTTATCGGTGTTGTTGTTTTAATAATTTAATATTTTTTGTTTCATTATTATTACATCGCAATAAGAAATGTAAAAATTAACAAACACTAAAATAAATATTTAAAAATCTATTAATTACATTTTGATGACTATTCAAAATTTAAAAATTTCAAATTTTCAAAAACCCGTATTGTATAAATATGGTTAAGAGTTACAATGAAAATTTGAATTTATTAATACCTATTATTTATCACTAATACCTATTAAAAGCCGTAGGTGAAATAATAGAGGTTTATTTTTATAGTAGACAATAGGAAAAAATTATATTAGTACGTTAAGGTAAATCTCAAGGTAAACAGAAAAGAATAAAATATGGTCTAATTTAAAATTTATTGTACCCAGTAATTAATTTAAAACATATTATAAACATATTTATATGATAAATTAAAAATAATAATAAAATATAAAGAAGGAATGTAGATGATATGTGGGAGACGTATAAATAACATAAGTAAATTAGATTATAAAATAACCACGTCAATTAACAACACGTTGGAGGCCAGCGAGGAAGCCAGAATCAAAAATAACTAATGTAAATACAGTTGTTTTCACAATAATAGGTATTTATAATTTACATAAATCCCATAACTGGAAATACTAGTTATTTAATAAGAAGTATTGTTAATATTTAAATTACAAAAACATTATTGTAATTCATTATCCAAATATTATTAATGTATACAAAATGGCTACCATTGAATTGACTCCTAATCTTGGGTAAATACGAAATCGACCCTTGAATTTGCTCCTGAAAATTGTATATTTGAATTTTAAATCAGTTCTTTAAATTATAAAATATTACTTATTATTTAACAGGGAGTTTTCATATTATACGCTTTTACTTTTACGACGTCATTGGTGCACTTTGCACACATGTATATAGGTAGTCTTGCGTAGGATATATCTGCTATTAGAAATGTATATATTATATATATATATATATATATTTGTATGTATATTAATTGAATTTAGTCTTATCGTCGTAATCTACTACAATAATCGATCATCATTGGTTTGTATACACTAATTTTATTCTATTCACTACTATTTTTGTTGTTAATGTTTGATTATCGCGACAGCCATGTGTTACTTAAATCGTTGATACGTTGTGTTCGCGAAAGTGCGCACAATGAACAATTTTGTTGAGAAAATGTTAAGCGAAAAGGGAATAATAATTTTTATAGTTAATAAACACAAATTTAGTTTTCAAAAACTCTTCCAAAATAACCAACATCGATATATATATAAATGTATTAAACGAGGATCGGAATTCGGAGGATGCATTACCAATTTAAAAGTATTGAAAACAAAGATATCGTGTGGATGTCATGTAATATACTTATTATTTATGTACAACATAATAACGATGCAGACGAAAAAATAAAATTTAACGCCAAATAATAAGCAAAAACTTGAAACGTAAAGCCCCTGAAAATATGTGTGAACGCCCTTCCAAGTTATTGTAGGTATTCATTATATTTACGGAAGAATAATACAAGTGCAGTAACAACCAAATATGTGACACATAGAAAACACAATATATTTCACAAATGAAGGTAATATATTTGTACAAATTAATAATGTGAAAAAAGGGATTTTATGTTATTTGGCACGGACGACAATTTAAAATTTCTAAATAAATCAACCATATCTTATGTTGACAGAATTGTTGGCATTGTAGAATATTTTTTTTGTTCCAATTTTCACAACTCATGTAATGAAAAACGATAATTATAAACCTTTAGTTTTCACTTAACTGAAAAACAAATAACAAGAATCCTATGTAGATATTTTTCAAACTATTATTAAACATTATTATTGTTTAATTTTTAATGATGAGTTTAATTTAAAAACCATTTGTGTTGACTTTAATATAACTATACATAATGTAATAAATGAAGTTAGCCATTGACTAAAGTTCGTGGTTGTCGATTTCACCTTGGATAATATTGGTATAGAATAATAAAAAATTTGATCTTTTATCGTAGTGACAAAGTACCTACATGTAAAATACAGTAATAGGCCAATATTTAACATATATATTTGGATTACAATTTATAGATCCACAATCGGTTAGGGACTAATGTTCTAACGAACTAACTAAAGTACGGCCTATAAACGAAAAATGTATAAAATTTAATGATTATTTAGTAGAAAATTATAATGATAATGATTCAACATTTCCATCAGAAATTTGGATAGAAAAAATCAATACATTTATCGTACAACAAATTCGTGAAAATCTTTCCATTTCAAATTTAATTCGCAAATTTATTCACCGCATCAGAGTATACTCAACTTTAAAAAAATTATATTTTATACTATTCATACTGATACACTAATTATTATTGTAAGAATAATTTCAATATAATTAAACTACACTAAAAAGAAATTGGAGATAAAATAAAATTTTTAGAAGATAAAATTCGAAAATATGACACAAGTGTAAATTCAAGGTTTCAATACACAAAAATATTAGGTAATAACTTATAAGTATAAGTCACGATAAATAGTTTAATAAACTATTTTTATTTGACTTATTAATTTTTATTAATATATATACTTGTATGTTGTATTATACATATATTTTATAACGATGCATTTAGTTATAATATTATCTGTGTTTTAATTTTTCAATTATTGTTTAGCTTTTATTATTTCTCCACTAAGATTTTTGTATTATATTTACTGAATAATTTTATGTAAAATATATAGATATATTAAGACATATAACTCTCAATGCAACGATTTAAAATAAATGTTTAACTTTAAATTATTTTAACATTTTATTACTCAAATAGTTTAATATATAAATGTAGAAAACATATATGATGAATGTAAATATTAAATTGAAATAATATAAAAAAAAAAAAAAAATAAATGTCAAAATTGAAAAGTACTGATATCTATTATCTATATATTGCTATGTAAATTTAATTTTAAAATGTAATTAATTCCAATCGAATATACCTATCTCTTCAAATTTCAATAACCATATAAGTTAATAAAATCGATAGCAAGCACTATATTTAATTAATAATATACAACACTTTTATAATGGATTCTTTTCAATCGGAAACAGCATACATATATACACAAAAAAAAAAAAAAAAATTGAACTTTATCAACAACGAAAAAAAAAGTTAGTAAAAAATAGATATTCTGTCAAATAAATCAAATTTTACTCTAAACCGAACATTAATATCAACAGCAAAATCATTACGCAAAATGTATTAAAATGATGTTATGTAAGTATCACAAATGCTTTTAATACACGTTTAGAATTAAATTTTATTTATTGAAATAACAAAAAAAAAAAAATAAATAAAAAATAAAATACATATTACACTCAAAAGTATGATA